GAGGCTTTGGAGTTTGAAGTATTTGTAATAATAAGGATCACTGCTTTTTTAAATGTAAAAAAATGATTTACCTTTTCAGTTGACTCCTTTAAAATACCAAAAAGTAAGCTTTTAAGATTATATTTAAATTAAGCCCCATATTAAAATAGGTAAATCCATTAATCGTTTGACAAAAATAATGCAAAACTGAGGGATTATGTCTAAACATGAAAACACACACCTCAAATCTGCTCAGCGACTTTTTTTCTTGACTGTTTACACCAAGAGAAAAGATTCCTTATCTTCAACAGAGCAAAAACCAAACTCACAGTTCGGGGTCAGTCCTGGAATGTTAAAAAATACAGACGACTGTGGGGATGAAATCCTAGTTGACCAACAGTCTTTTCTTGTCCACCAGAGTTTGAGAGTTACTTTCCAACCACAACAGACCCACAAACTGCTAAAGAATGGACATAGGGAAGAAAAGCAGGTGAGTCGAGGATGTCTGTGCCAGAAGAGGATCAAATGCTGGAGATTGCAAATGAAATGAATTAAAATCAAGGCAGAATATCCTGAGCGCACAACCAACGCACTGAAGAACCGGCTTCTATTTCCAACATCCTGTCTCTGTGGGTTTTTCTCCAATGAACAAAACGAAATTCTGGAGCAGACTGGACATAAGCGATGCACTCTGGGTGTCATTGTCCCCAATTACCCCCAGACGGGGAGATCTCGTTTTTGTGCAATTGATGATAATGATGTTATCGGTCGTATCGTTCTATTTACTCATATTCATCTCCCACGCGCTTAAGATGGTCCGTGAAAATGTCTTAAAACCGGTATGTTGTGCAAAAGGGGTTGAGGGCCACTGCTTTATTTCATGATCTCAACATGTGTTTTCAGCAGGGGACACATGTGGATTTCCCAACGTGGCATCTGTCTGACCTTGAATTCAATGCTGGTTAGTAGAAGGAGCTTAACAAAACGTCTGATGGTCGCCGATTGAAAACATTTAATCAGCAGCATGCAGGTAAACAGTTAGCATCTTCAAAGTAACTCCCGCTAGCTGCAACAGGAAATCTAATTTAAGGATATGAAAAAGAGAAAAGTGGACCGTGTTATTCTAATTTACTGCTTATTTTCCCTGTATTTGCACAATTTAGCTTCATTTTCCTACACTATCATGTATGCACGTCCTACACCATTTCTTGAATAAACTTGATCAGGTTCTGACAAAGTAAACAACATTGTACAACATGGGATTTCTTGACAATATGACAAATATACAATACCTTTATCCTGTAAGGTTGTTTCTTAATCACACTTTTTAAATGTATGGGTTATATTTTCAAATCAAACATTTCCCCGAGTGGTCTCCTTTAAGTATTCTGAGTTATCGCTGACATATAAGAAGGCTTTCCACATATTGCCAGTTAAATCTCGCTGTTGCCGCCCTAATAAAACTGCACATTTGACCCTTTCTAATTTGGGTACCCAGTGTCCTCTGCGGCGCCGAGATGTTCATTGTATGTTTGGCAGAGATGAGAAGCCTCGGGTGAGGGCAAAGGCAATAAGCGTTCAGAAGGACGAAGTCCCGAGTCCAGTTCATTGTCTGCATGCAGGGCCGGGGATCAGTGAGACAGATGTGGCAGGAAGCAATCATGTGATGAATCGACCGCAGTGTTAAATGGTGCTATTCCACCTTTTAAAATTCAATAAAGAAGTCAGTAGGCCTTTGTGGAGATCCATGCACTCATCACAGAGAATTTCCTCCTGCTTTAATGGGTCAATGTTAAAATGTGACCCCTGACACAAGGTGGTCCGGCCCCTAAAGACACTACTCCATTAGATTTTGGCAGCTCCAATAACAACAATTGTTTTCCAAGCAAGACATTGCTAAAGTGGCCAACGTAAATGATTTTACTGTTAATTTATACATCTAGCCTTGATGGAACATTGCAGAAAATAGGACTTTTGTGTGTAATTTATGGTAATCTGACAACTTCATCCAGCAAAGCTATAATCATGTTATTTGCTTTGTATGCAGCATATGCAAACATGCTCACAAGGTTGTCGATAAATATCCGAATGTTAAGGACGTATAAAACATTTGGCATGTTAACCATCATGCTGTAGTGTGAAACCATCCCAACAATTCCTAATTTTCACTAAACCTGAAGTATTGTGAATGTAAAGTTTTGAAACATATTGAAATGTTTACCTGATGATAGAAAATGAAGGTTCGATAAAGGTTTTACAGTTCATCCTGATGTATGTATGTTAATATCTGATGAAAACCAGACCACCTGTAGTCAGTCAGTTATCTTCTTTACCGCCTGTCCTCAGCGGGCCGCTGGAATCAATACCAGCTGGCATTGGGAAAAATACGCTAATGATGAAATCACAAATTCACTCTCCCATTCAAATACAAGCTATTTTATGGAATGCATGTCTTTGTAATGTGGAAGGAAGCCAGAGAACATGGCTCAAATAAATACCAACATTGGAGTGATTTAACTGATTTAGTTTAGTCCTGATACAGTATAATGCTAGTCATGATGTTTTGGGTTGAAATATTACTCCTTCTCCCAACTATCTAGCATGCAAATGACTCCCGTAACTTTCCCGATACTTTTAATGTGTCCTCTTCGTGTCAGAAAGCGGTGACTCCATTGGTTAAATGCTGCTGCGGCCCTCTTTCTCCTTGACTCACTAAATGAGCCGAGTGAAGGATGTTGTGCTCTTCTGCATAAACGCTCCCAGCAAAAGAGTTTATTACTGTAAGACCCATAAAAAACAACATTAAAATTCACAACCAGGGGAGCGTCGCCTGACCCCTGGAGAATGATAAATTAGTTTGTGTTGCTCTTGCAAAACGGGTCGTTTTATGGGCCTACCTTCATCCTGGGCTCCCGCAGCCGAGTCCCCTTCAGTGCGGGAAAACGCCGCAAAGGGGCCCTGCACTGAAAGGCATTGCGAGCGGGGAAATATTTTCAGATGACATCATTCTGCCCGCTTCCCTCCTCATAGGAAATCATCCGGTCTTGTGTATGACATTTAATTCAACATGCGTGTCGGCTCTGCCCAGTCGTAAGGCCACTTTCACCGAGCGGCTCTGGTTTGACATTGAGGTGTCTGTTGTAATGATAGAGAGCGAGGCTGAGGAAAATAAAATGCTCAGAACACTCTTGGGCGATGGAAGCTGCTGCTTAGGGGGCTAAGTCCGTTGATACCTTTGATTCTATTCTGCTTTTCACTTACCGTGGTTGAAGTCGTTCTGCTGCGGCTCTGCTTATCTGGAGCAGCTTGGAACTGTTGAGTGCAGTCACCTCCTCAGTATTAGTTCTGAAGGATGGTACAACAGATTTCATGTGACAGCGGCACTTCCATTTCCCACGAGGGAAACATGCAGGTGTCTGGGCAGCATTTGAAATGAGATTAAAGAAGACTTGAATCTTGTGAATGCATTGAAAAACACAAGTGTTCACACAGGCCCTGCACTCTTTACAGGTAGGTGCGTACCTTTAATGACGATTCCCTTGCTAACCAAAGTCCCCTGAGAGTCATCACTGACAACTCATTAGCACTATGCTAAGCTAATGGATCAGTAAATAGATTTTTATGTGGACATAAATGCTAATTCGTTACACTGCAGCGCTGTTCGACGACGCTTAGTTTAGCAAACCAGCCTCAGCCTCAAGGGTGCGTTTGTGTCTCATTAAGCTCGGCCGGTGATCTATTGAGGATGCGGAGGACTCGGCGGAAAAACCGAAATAAAATGACTTGAGGCCTGCGCTGCTGAAACGCTTGTCCATCCCGGAGAGGGGAACGATATCCTACAGGACAGCCAGCGATCCGACTGTCAGGTGCCATTATGTTGCGCGACAGTTGTTGCAGTTGTTGCACCTGATGAGACTTGAGACGGTGTGTTGCTCAGAAATAAAACTCTCATACAGACGTAGTGACGGTTGGCTCTTCTTCTGCTCACGTACCACCACGTTGTTGACTACCTGTACGTGGTCACAGCATGTACATTTAGATCTCCAATGCTTTTAAAATACGTCTCCACATACTCTTGTTAATCATCAATTACTGGACACATTCTCAATTAAAACGTTAACTGTTCATCATTATTACATTTTCCCCATTTTTTTTTTGGGCATAATCTGTGCACGGCCGTTTTCTATAAGAAAAAAAGAAATTACACTACAATTAAAATGTCAGATACCTTGAACACATTGTAGCAGGAATAATGCACTTATAAGACTTTCTTTAAGCCTGCATAACTTGTGATACCATGGCCATAAGTCACGAAGAATGAACATGAAAATGAGTCAAATCAATGCTAAATATCGTATTTGCATTAAAGAAGAGTGAGGTCTGACACACATTTGGCTCTTTCTGCAGTTAGAGAAGAAAAAATGTGGTTACAGCTTCTAGCTTCTTGACAGCTCAGCTTTTTCAGCTCACGCCGCCTTCGTACCATTTGTTGATCTCGACAGCAGCCCACATGCAAAAGCCTGAGACAGCAAGACAGACATTGGAAATGGGAAGGGAGCAGCAGCAGGGCCTCGTTGAAAGAACGTCTCTGACTGAGTGGGAGTTGAGTGGGAAAACTGGCTCGGCAGCAACCACAGGAGCCACAAGTCTTCAATCTCCAACAACCAACTGGACCACATGATGTTCTTGATGACGCTGCATGTTATTTAAATGTTACACTTTCTTCCGACAAATATTAACTATTTATATTATCAAGCGTATACATTGTGGCCCACAGAAAAACACTCTCCATTGATAATATTCATGGTAGCATGGTACAACTTCGTTTAACTTTGTATTAGGTGCAAGGAGGCCATTTGTCTTCGCTGTTGGTTTCAAGAGGGAAATCTTTGAGAGCAAATTAATTTAAAACAAAGTAGGAATGCATTAGTTATTCATTGCTGGAAACTGTACTGCCTGCATGCTTTCTAGTTGCATTGTTTTGTTCTCTGCTTTCTCAAATGAACACTATTTCACCCGTGTTTTCTTTAATGAAATAAAGTTTAATTTAAAAAACAGTTTCAGTCATTTTTTGTAAAATAAAACGAGATAAAACAGGGAGGATACAAAATGTTTTCCAGCCACTTCCATACCTATAAAATAAAACATTACGGAAAGCATCACCGTGGGCAAAAAACATTACAACTTTTCATGCAAATTGGGTCGAGCTATTATGAACAACAATGATTATGTCCAACATCCAAATCATTCTAATGTTTTTTTAAGGTGTGACAGAGCAAACTCATCACTTTTCTGAATAAACACCGATGTCTGGAGGGCAGCTGGTTCCAATGGTCACAACACGCTGACTTCTCCTGCTACTTTACGTAGTAAAGTGATGCCTGCAGCTGGGAGATTAACTCAAAAACTAAATGTTGGTGGTTTATGTTTTCCCCTAAAAAAAACTCTGACAGAATAAATACTAAACATTTATTTTATATTTGTTGAGCATCAATGATGTAAGAAGGTATGATCATGACGTATCATGCAAAAACACATTGTGCGTTATATTGCCGTACCTGCGCTTTGTGTGTTATTCTTCAATAACTGCACACCAGAACGTTGAATAATCCTTCATATGAACAACTAAAAACGTCGTAACGTAATGCAATATGCTGCTGTTATAAACTATTACTGAGAAGCTCACATTAAAGTACATGATACACACCAGCTTCATAGAAAGTGTTTCCCAGTCTAATTTTAGTCTGCACAGGAACACTTTGTTCTTTCTTATTTTATTGTTACACTTTGTGTGGTGAGCTGTACTTCTGTAGTTTTCAAGCAAATCGTCATCCAAAATAAGAGCTGTGGGAAATAAAAGAACACCATTTTTACATGTAGACCCCCAAAAAGCATTTACAGGCCCATCCAGGGAGAGTCACTCTGTGCTATTTTCGTTATATATGCTGGTATAAATTCCCACCCAATTCCTTTAGACCATTTTGCAAGTAGAGGTCCAGATATTTATTGTTTCTTTTCATAGATTTAGCTAAAGTCTAGATTTAATCTACCTTTGCCGGGCTGCGCGTCCGGCTCGCCGCAGCAGTTCCTGCGTTGACAATCACTCAAAGGGGGCCTTTCATTTACGGCGACGCTGTAGATAAAGGCAGCCTGAAATCAAAAGGTACGGGATCCTGTGGAAATTGGTATTTTTATACTCACAGACCACTGCTGATTTGGAAAACAGACACGCACACACAGCCAATACACACTGCTCAGCTCCCGGGAGCGGACGCTCTCTTTATATCCTCAAACGCATACATTAAGATGGAGTTGTACACAATGTTTTAGTACAAAGAATTAAAAAATAAAAAAAGGGTGTAGACACATTAACAGGAACACCTGTGCAGAACTATTGTAATTGCCCTGAAACAAACAATTGCTATGTGAAGGCTATTTCTTTTAAGACTTTAGGGTAATTAAGTTTCATTTTCATTGTATTTTCGTAATATCTTGGCTGGTGTTCGTGTTAATTTGTCCACCTCTTGCATTTCCTAGAAGAATGCCTCTTGTGCTTCTCCTTTGCATTACCTCTGGTTGAAATGAGACCCACAGAACAGAAAATACATTAATTGAATATATATATATATATGTATATATACATCGTTTCAAATATATCAAGCATATGAAATCATCAAATAGCACGTCCAGCTGGCCAAAACATTTCATATCAAAATATAACCAATTTAGATATGGATTCTGAATACATTTAATCACGCATGAACTGATTTTAATTACAGAGTTTAACTTACGCGTCACACTGCAGATCTGTCCCAACCCCCCCCCCCCCCCTCACCTTCAATATAAATATCTCTATGTACTCCATAAAACACACGAAAAGAATAGGCAATACCAGGGATTCACACATGAACATTCAAATGCAACCAACATCTGCCAAAAAATGCTTCTCTTGCCAGATGGTGAACTCTGGTCTGTCCCCAAAATATACAAGTTTATGAGTGATGCATTGGACAGGACTTATTTCACAGTGTATCTCTGGATGTGCACTCACACAAGCGCGCAGCCGAATATATTCCCACATGGAGGGATGCGAAAACACGTGCGCACAAACAAACAGACCATTAACATGAGCCAGAGGTTCACATCTGCTAAATGCTCCCGGTGGTGTGTACAAGATGTGTGAGGTTCATTGACAAAAACTAATGTTCTATCCTATGTTGGCACCACATAAAGTTATAAGCTTAGACCCTCGAAATGACCACATTTCACCATGGTGACCTCTGTCATGAAGTTAACTCATCTCTGTCGCCCCTTCTGTGACGTTCCAACAGACCTCCGTGGTTTTCTCACAACCTTCCGTCCTGTGTGTGTGTGTGTGTGTGTGCGTGTGTGTATATGCAGAGGTGTAAAGTTTCACCCGTCCGCCAAATGAGAGAAAGAATCCAAAGGACAATACGGGCTGGCTCGACCCCTGCAGAGTCATTACTCTCCAGCAGTAAGCTGTCGGCAAGGAGACTTGGCCGGAGTAGAACCCTGGACGCCCTCATGGCAGGGATATAAAGAAGATGAACGGGATCGACTTCTGAAAGACCTTCTAACAAGTCGAAGTCAAGCCACAAAGGTACAAAAGAAATCTTCCAGAAGCCGATGTCGGATAACACGAACAAAAGCAAACGTTGAGGTACGTCAATGAATATTCCACCGGCCCGCTGATCGATGCTCCTCACAGGGGTTTCAGTTCTGTGATTAGTCCACAAATTTGGTTGCAGTGAAGATTCAATGCCGACGGAGGACCATGCTGCTCACTCGAGGCTCCTCAGAAGTGTCACTGTGGCGATTTGTGGAACTCTGGATTATCACTATTTATTTATTTTAGTATTGAAGGTCAAACCTGGTGTTAAGGTTGGGAATCTCGTTGGGGAATGGACACAATGTTCTGGTGTAGAGATTGATCTTTCCTTTTGTAGCACATGGATGACGACAATGAATCTGCTGAGGAACAGAGAAATAAGCCGGGTCAAAGTCACGTCAATGTCACAACATGACACTTTAACATTAACGCCTCGACGATATTCATACAAGAGCAAACATCAACTACGTAAACATTTCTGTTTGGCATTTTGTTTGTCATTTGCTTCTTTAAAGTTTAATAAATCATGGCGTTGAGGATATTATTCTTGTTTTTAAACCTAAACAGAGTAATAATCAGACCAGCATCCCTGTATTCACATCGAAACAGAGCCTGACAATAAGGTTTCTTTTAATCTCTGCTCATCGGTTAGCTATATAAGAAATATCTCATATAAATATCAGATATTAATAGTAATTTATATAATTAATAATTTTTCCACAACGGAAACTTGTCTGACAAAAAGCAATGAAACAAGACATTTTAAAGTATTCTATGTCTTAAGGGGGCTTTTTTTGAGCATTTACAAATTATATTGTGTGAATGATTCTTTAAAGGCATCGATCCATCAGTGTATGTGCTGATATATTCCTTTTCACGTGGAATACATTTGACATGCTGGAGCTAATGACTTAATTTAGCCAATCATTTGGTCAAGAAAGCCATTGCAATGATAGTAGAACGCTGCCATGAATTTGTTGTATGGATAAATCCATAAATGTTAAGACATAAAAGACTCACAGTGAGAGTGGACAATTGTGACACCCAAGACCGGCCACATAAATCATTCAGACACTTAAATATGAGTTGGCAAATCCACACAGAATTGCACAAATTCCCGGAGCAGGCAAATACATATTTATGACGCCCCCAATTCCCCCTTTCTCCCTGTCCATGATAATTGTGCGTGATTCATTTTGTTTTCTCGGTGCAAGAGGGGATATCAATCTTAGAATATTGGCGAGGAGACATAAGGCATGCAGATTCCAAATGCCTGTTTTTTTTCAGAAGCTCACAAATACTTGAGCAATGTTCTTGGAGGGAAATTTAGTTTTAATCTTATGATATTTCCTTTTTTTTCAAGGCAAAATAAAAATCTTTTTAGAAATCAAGTTATCTACGTCCATCCCACTCCTGTCTAACATCTAGCTTTTTCCTTCAGTTATTTCTTTTGTCGAGAAGCTCCTCCCAATTATATGGGTTTTATACCGTTGTCCTAAAAGAGAAACTGGACAGATGAAGTAGCCGCTTCCTGTCATGTACCCACAGTGGTTCTTTTTGTTACCATTCCAACATTTCCATTAAACCACTTTGATTTCCCTTTTTCTGGTGCTCCATCAAAGCAAATGTTTACTGAGAAATAAGGGATCCCATTGTGTCGCTGGACAATTTTTTATTTCAACAGAGTGGTACTGATACACATTAGTGCCTGATTCATCGCAGGTCTGCGCTACCCGGGACTCTTAATCCACTTGGAATTAAGGCCGGGTTTCTGCTGTTGTTATTTATGCTTTCTGCATGGGCAGAACAATCAAAATGTCTAGCGTTGCTCGTGTGCCAAAGTTGACTGAAGCGAGGTTATACACTTCGTATGCAAATGAGAAGAAGTACATCATAACAGAACTCACATACTTGCTGTTTTCTCTGCATCCTACGACGGCTCCTTGGGCAAAGGCTGGAACAGAAAAGTAGAAAAGTAGAAGGTCAGAGGCCAACTTTTAATCAACTTTCTCTCGGCATATTTGCCTCAGACGCGGAGCAGCATATGTCCATTCAAAAGCACAGATGGCGTGTCTTCCAATTATATATAAGGCAAGACGATAGAAGCTGAAGGTTATTTTTTTTCCCTGCCAGTTTTTATGACCTCTGAGGACGCCGTTTTCTCTCCTCGACGAGACAATGCGAGCGAGTAATGGCTGCCTCATCATCAGCGTTAACGACTGAGAGACCTTTTTCCTTCCTCCCATCGACGGCATCACACAGACACAACATTTTTGAGCACATTTGCTACCGGGTACGCTGACAAACAGCGCTCCACTTTGTTTCTCTGCGAGCAACCACTTCTCGCCTCCTACATTCATCTTTAGGAGAGCCCATGAAAACATGCAGTTTTCCCCTTGACCGGAGGAAGCAAACGGCTCCCTGGCCTCCTTGATATTGGTGAATGAGCCACTTTTGTGTAGATAATGACTCGGCTAATCATAATCACAAAGCTAATGGTCTGTTTAGCCAATCAGAGGAGCCGAGGCGAGACGCCCGTCTGGGCAGCGAATTGGCATTCCCGGCAGCAGCCGCCGCCGCCGCTCTCCCCTCGGCTGTGCCGGGCTATCGGCAGCAGTGATGTGGACTTGGTATTCTGCCGCCCGCCGCGGGCCGTCCTCCTGCGATCAGTCGCTCCGTCTGTCCGACCGGCAGCGCCGCTGTCAAGAGAAATTCACTACTCGGAAGAGGCGCTGATCCATCACACCTCTCCAGCAGCATGTCATCTAAATGCTAAGTACTTCCACTGCATCTTTAAATCAAAACAAGAAAAGAAATCAGCACGGCGGGGTTGGAGGGAGGGAGGGATGGGGGGGGTTTGGACGGGATAAAAGCTTATAAGCGCACAATAGAATCTGCAGAGCAAACCATTTGCTTTTTGATTACATTCATTTTCCAGGGAGCGGAAATGTGGGAGAGGTGAAACCGGGCGGGAGGGAATGCGCACGAGGAACCCAAAGACCTTGTTACCCCCTTCAAACATACACAGAGAAAAAGAAGGGTGAGTAGATATTGATACAGACGCCACAAAGGTTCCACTAAAGAAAATAGTTCGTTGTTTGGTTTCTCTTCAAAAACCATCACGAATGCACCCTGAGCGGCTCCCTCAACAGGCCCCCGTCCCCCCCGTCCCCCCTGCTCCCCCGTCCTCCCGTCCCCTCCCTCGACTCCCCGTCGCAGTCGGACTCTAAGCCATCGATTGGAGGGATCTTGAAGTCGGAGCAGAGTGCTGAGGCGGCAGGAGCGGCCGGCACTATTAACTGCTCCTACTAATTAAAAGGGTAACAAGGTGAGCCCCCCCCCCTCCTCCCGGGACGAGCTATGCAAGAGACCAGGCCGGCTGTTTGATTGCCCTGCACACCGGTAAACAGAGCTCACCCCCTATGGTTCACAACGCAGGAATGCAAGGACATCCGAAGCCAAACTCGTGGATGAAGGGAGAGAGCGAGAGGACGCGGGCGGCACACTAATTGCTCGCGTTGTGCCGAAATTGTAACGTTTGGACCTCTCCTCGGAGCTCGCGGCGTTTCATCGCCACTTGTAAACATCAAGCGCTGTGTGCAGAAGTGATAAAGTTCCACAGTTCAAATGAGGTGTGCTGGCTTGGATCTCTGAGTGAGCGCCGGCGGTGATTGGCAAAATATTAAAGGATTCAATTAACTTCCTGCCTTATCACCAATACAGCATATGCGAGGATCAAAGTATTTTGAAGATACAGTATGGCCTCTCATTACACAAATAAAAATCCTCAGCCGAGTTAAGCGATGCTTGCCGGGAGAAAGGAGGGAGACCCACTGCAGGTACACCAGTGTGCCTGCGTGTTTGCTCAGTCCTCAGGGCGACGCAAAGCAGAGGCGACATATTTGGTGGCACTTCGAGCCAAAAAATTCTCATCAGCGGCCCACCCAGCCATTATGGAGGCAGGCCATCGCCGCAGCTACTAAAAACCCTTCCCCAGGGTCTCTCTGCTAACAAGCGGACTCCTGCACGGGGTTTTGTTGATTTCATCAGCTGGAGACTCAGAGGTCCCAGTCGCTAACAGCCACTGGTGTTATTAGACTAACAAGCGTAGCTGCATCCTACTGGAGACCTTGAGTGGACGCCTCATGCCCACAGCCTGATGCACAAAAGGATCCCTGCTCATTTCCTATACAATGCTATACGCAGGCACAGGAAAAGCCAATATCAATTGTTAAAAATTCAAAAGCATCACTGGGGTAAGAGTAGAAACATAATATGTTTTGAAATGTTTTGGCACTTAAAATTTGCACTCATTCATTTTCTTTTCTCTACAGGGCAGTTGCCAACTCAACACTGACATGGTATTTGATCCATACATTTCTTGCTAACATTACCGTTGAAAAGGCAGCAGTACCTTAAAACATTAATGTCATTTTATTTTTTTATACGCAGATGAGAACAGCAGATGCTGATGTTGTACAAATAAATTATAGTCAAGTCTAAAAGAGTAAAAGTATCCATTTTTCTAACCGAAAGAAAAAAGATGTATGAGATGAAAGGGGACCATTTGTAAAACAGGGCAGTGAGCTTTTTAAAAATGTTGAGCTGTTAAGTGAATGTGTAGTAATAAGGCTAAAACAAACAAAAACACCGGCACGGTAATGAAGGTAAATTGTAGCATACAAAAGGTAAGTGTGCAAAATAGCCACTTTCTGAATTATCTCATGTATCTTGTGAATGTATTTAAAACATAAATATTAAAAAATCCCTAATATATTTATTCCATAACAACGCATCATATCTTATAAGTTGATCATGTGTTTTGTTCGTGAAACCTGCAGTGCGACGGGTTAACAAAGCTGTTAAATAAATATGGTGGAGATAAGACAACATAAAGTCCTTCATGAAATCTAATGCAGTCAACGTCAGCATTAGATTAAATTCACACAAATCCCAAAATGATATTGTGCTTTGCATCATGTCTTTCAGCTCTAGCGATACAGAGAGATGAATGTCGGCGTGCTGCAACAAAAAGTGAAACAGGATGTTGTTGGGAGCGCTTGAACGTGTCCGGACCGTTGATGGGCAAGCCGCTTCTCACCGGGTGCAAAGAAAACAAAAAAAAACCCTGTGTGGAAATGTGTCCTACGGTTCTGACCAATTCACACCAGACGAAGCTGCGGAGACGAGCGCTGTGCCGGGTAAAACCCACACGGCAGTTCAAAGCCTGGCGGGGACAGAACTTCTATCGGAGGAGCGCGGTAACGCGAGCCGGACGAGGCGGCGGAAGGGGGCCGTGTTCACTGGGTGTCAGACACACAGGAGGTGAGCGTGTGAGGGGCCGGTGGAACATGAACACCTTTTTAATGCCCTGTGAAGGAATGCCAGAGGCCACATTAGTGACTGCATGTGTCACTTTTCTGCAGGATGTATGTCCCTCAGCACCTGATATCACAGACAAAAAGAGGGTCTCGGTACGTCTCGATCAATCCGACCTATTTCAATACATTTTCTGCATCAGTCAACAAGCCGTCTCCACGAGACGGATGGCGGCGCCGCAGCACCTGACAAACGGATGAGCAGAAACAAAGGGAGTGCATTTCTCTCCGCCGCTTGACAAATAGGGGACCCTTTTAATGCAACTGAAATAAAGAGTGTATTTGCTTATCGAGCGCAACCTCTGCCCTCCGCCGCACGTGCGTCGCCTGCGCGTCAGTCGTTTTATAAACGCACGTCCCAAGGCGAAGCGGCTGGCTACAATATGTTATCCCCGAGGATCCAGAGGGAGGCTGTCAGATACAATATGACAGGAGCAGCATCACTACACGAACAGCAATGTGAGTGAAAGCCTGGAGCCAGTAAGACACAAAGCAGACACGCAGGAAGTGCTCTTTTGCTTTTTGTCACAGAACGCATGGTGGTGAGGTCTTTTACAGTAGACTTCTTCTGATTTCAACCCTTTGCTGCTGAAATACATTCTATTACTGGTGCGCGGTAGTTGGAAAGTACTTTGCCGGTGCTCAGAATTGAATCATTTTGACCGAAAGCACACCTTGCATAGCCAGCAAATCGGATATTTGGAAATGCTCTGGCCTGATTTCTCCCATTCATTTGGAAGCTGCAAACATTTCTGTAATTTCCAGTTTGGATTTCCTCATTAATATTTCCCCACTGTGTTGGAAACAAGACCATTGACAAAATATCCTTTTACCTGCGACACATTTTCAGTATGCATCCTTCAGAGCCGGCAGTGTAAGGAGCAATAATTGAAGAAGAAGCAACCTACTCTACGTCTCCTAGCATGCCTTTTATTAGGTCTTAATAGATGCTCCTGGGCACAGCGCTACATCGCCTAATCAAAGGGATTTCATTTTTCTGGTCCACCTTTATCTCAGCGTGGCATCTCACTGAAGATACGAGTCTGAAGGCGGCAATTTATTCTGAAAGCACATAAAAGATACGAGTTAAGGCACATGTAAAAAAAAAAAACTAAGGTTAAAGGAGGCTAGAAAAGCCAAGAGGTTACTAGAGGAACTCGTGAAAGGCATCTTGAATTTTCGGCGTCGTAGGTGTGAATGGTTTTTGACAGACGGAGATTTGCTGGGAGGTCACAATGAAATCACGCTCACTAATAATGGACTGTGGCAGCATCCAGGCCTTCAGCTTTTCTGAACTTGCTTAGTTTAATGGCGACTGCAGATTTATTGTTTTTCATTGGCACGCAGTGGGCACAGGTGGTTTCAAGCGCGGTTCGAATCTAATTTGTTGTTTAAAACATGAACACAAAAGCTCTTAAGATAATGCATTAGTAAAGGAAAGGAACCGCTGCTTCTGGTTCACTAATGTTTTCTGTCTAGACTGCTTGTTGCATCAGCAGCATGAAAGCATTATATATATATTTATATTTCTTTTCATGGGGTTTGTTGCAATTAATTTCACACTATCCCCCTGCTTGTTGCACAGTTTAAAACAACTCACTGCAATAAAGTAAATGCCTTAATGCCAAAGGACATTTGGGACATTGTTAAACCTTATTGCTTACTATTTGTTCTCACTTGGATACCACATCCTTTCTCCTCCTCCACACTAACGATACCAAGCCACCCGCAAATCTGTCATGCCCGCTCTCCGACCTCGGCTAATCAACAATTCATTTTAAAGAGGCGCACACAAACAGTTGCTGACAGAGCCTGCGGGCGCGCTGTGTTGACTTTGAGGAGCCAGCTCATTAGAAGTCTGTCTCTGGTCGGACGGGCTGCCAGCAAAGCAGTGACCATGGCGACGCATCACTTGGCTGCGTGGTTCGTTGTACACATTGACGCCTTTATAAGCGAGCTGCAAGCGGGCGCAACACAACGACACTCTTCCATTCGTTTTGCTCATCGGCATCACATCTGTAACATTCTCTCTGTCACTCATCAGGTGCACCTTTAACATCCTTGTGCGAATCAAGATTTTGTGCCATATATATGTTCTTCTGTCAAAAGACTTGCAGATCTCGCTGGTTGTGCTGTGTGTGTGTGTGTGTGTGTGTGTGTGCACGTGTTCTTTTCAGTTTAAAATTCTGCTTTATTTTGGCAAAAAAAGACCTCCCAACTGCAACTGTTCCTTTTCTCTCCAGACCACCAGCTATGTGGGTATGTATGTCGCTGTGTGGGTGTGCAGCAAGATTTTTCCTTTTCTAAGTCACTGTCAAACATCGACTGAGCGAATCAATACACATCGCAGTCCGAATATGAAGGTTGTCCAGAGCGTAACTTTCATAGTTTAAGCTCTCTGGAAAGCCAAGAACATAATACTTAGGAGTTAATAGTCTCCTCCTGCCTGCTCTCATTCACCTGAAAGTATGGAAAACGTTTAACTTGTCTGTCTGGCCACGGACACGCCCGGCTGTGCTCTTGTGTAACCCAAAGTGGTCACCTCCTCCCCTCGCCTCCCCTCGCCTCCCCTGCCGCCGCGTCAAGTGCATGAAGCCGACCTGATAGCACCCGACCCAGTCTGCTCAAATTGCGCCTTCCACCTCGGAGAATATCATATGTAGGCCCTTCAGCGGCTCACTAGTGAAGACAAATTGCCAGTCTATTTGGGGGGAGGAGGGCGGGCGGTGGGGGGCTCTTGAGCGGGGTTCATATTTGCTGGCAGTGGAGAGACGGCTGCATATGCAAACTCCATTAGCAGGTTGGGCCGGAGTGTGTGACCCGGCGGTGCCACCGTGAGCTGTCAGCGTAGTTTAGTTACTTCATCCCTCTATCGATACACCAGGTTGATGTTTCTATTAAGACGTTTCATTTTATTTATATATTTATTGTTCACATTGTTAGAGTTACACACGCAAAGCCTTTAGAACAAACTCCCCCAGTTGATTTTTTCATTTCATGCTGTCTTAGAGGTCGTTAGAATTTTCATTAAAATGTTCAAATGAACCATTTAATTAAATCCACCTAAATTAAAATGACTAAAATAACTTTTTGTTTTGAAGTTCTCAAAACTGAAAAAAATGAAGGTCTAATCTAATGAAATATTCATTCATAGTTCATAGTTTCCCCCTGAAGGAGCAGCCTGTGGCAGTAATTGGAGATTCATTGCATACATTCAGTGGGTGGAGGAGTTGGCGGTTAAAGTTTAAAAGTCAAGAATTTTGGCACAGAGCTTCTGCAATTGGCAGCAAATAATCAATATAGTGTAAAGACCTCTAACAACAAGTGTTGTGTTGGATGAAGTAAACAACTTCAAACCTTCAAATGTAAAGTTTGTCTTTAGGGGGCACTTGAGGAAAGGTTACATCCCGACCATGGATCTTCATATTATTATAATTATTTACATTTTGTTTTTGCTCTGTCTTATATAATATAATTGTTCTGTGTTAACTAACCAGTTACACACAGTTAATATCACATGAAAGTTGTTGGTTTGCTCAGTAATTTACACAGACACTATATGCAATGGGAGGAAATATACTCATTCATGCGACGGTAGAACGTTGGAATTAGAGGGCCGCTGACCAAGCTGCTGACGAAATGAGAATAATAATGTGTTGGAACGTCGCAGAGCTTGTGAAAATGAGATGTTAACGCCGATGGGCCACGTCAGTACCCACAACGTGTCAGAATCATTTGATTAACATTTCACTTCCTCTGCTGCTTATCTCAACGTCGCGTTGTAGCTACAGGTTGTGAGCAGTAATTAGGCTGCCACACAGAACTGAAGTGTTTCTCTCAGCGCTCAGAATACAAATCAAAATTGGATCTTTAAGTCATTTTGAACCTTGCTCACCGTACACTCGTTGGAAGCTTTAGATTTTATAATCTTATACTGGATTTAAACTTGATGAACAACTATCAAACCGCGATCCCGTACGTGTTTAACAGATCTCAGCAGTACGACATATGCTTTATTAGATGCATGATTTGCCCACCGTCGGGTACATTTGTCAATTTAATTCACTGGCTATCTCCACCTACGCCGCCTCCGCCTCCGCGCCGCCGCGTGGATAATGAGTGCAGCCATTATTAGCTTTCAGAAACCCACGTTGTCACACTGAGTGCTCCCATGTAATGTAATTACGGGCATGCGAAGACAGGTGCTCTGACAATTAGAACTCGCCCTCTTCACTCAAGATACTTGCACAGAGGCGCGTCCGGACAGAGGTTGGCCAGTGGTTGGCCAGTGGTCGGGCAGCAAAGTAGCCCTCAACCCCCCCCATCCCCCCTCCCCACACATCTCTCTACTCCAGCCTGATCAAGCTTCATAGATTTCTCATTATTTATCTCCCAGGATGTGCTAACCCACATTTCAGGTCTCACAACAAATACCTCCCAACACCCGCCTTTTTCCCGCTGCCAAAAGCCTCCGTACCACCTTCCAAAAACAAACCAGAGCAAAGAACACAGCATCACTTGTGATTAACTTCTGCAGTGAAAATCTCTGCGGCAACATCCTACCGAGAATATGCAGTGGAACAAAGAAAATCTACATTTTCTTCATTTTTTTTGTGTAAGCAAAACACTAACCTAAGTTTGCTGTCAGGGCAGATTACGGCACGATGGGAATGCGTGCATGAAATGTGACGCAGCTGCCCAGGGCTGCCGGGCGGAGGAGGCGGAGGAGCGAGAGAGATAAAGACACAGCAAGTGAGGGAGATAAAAGGAAGCGAGAGGGAAAATCAAGAGATGCAGTCACAGGTTGACCTTCGGCCTTGTGTACCTGATGCTGAGGACAGCAGTCTCTCCGGCTCCTGATCTACCCTGTCATCTCCTGTTTTTCTTTGTTTATTCACCCCACTCTTTCAGGCTTTCAAACATTCACATTGGCTCTTCTTCTATAGTGGCACAATAAAGTAAAGGATCAAGTGAACCCTTGCTCAGATGGCTATCGTTCGCTGGCTTTGTACATCCTGAATCAGATGCAATCACAGAGCAAAGCCTCAGTCAGCAGCACTGCGGCGTTGGCAGCTCTGAGGCATTGGATGCATGTTGCACTGTTAAGAGGAGCCTACAGAGGACCAGATGACACCATATTGGAGGCTTTAAAAATGTAACATGTCTTGTGTTCATTTAAATCTTTTGCAAAGTCAGGGAGAGGTCATTGACTGTCGGCTAAAAGTATTTTTATCCCGCTGATGCATGAAATGTTGGATCTATAGCGTATACAGCAATTCAAAATGATTCATTGGAATTGGGAGAATATTCTGAAATTCGGAGTACTCCTAGTAAGATATAAGGTATTTCATTTAGCTGGTAAATAAAAAAACACCATGAAATTTGGTTTGAATGCTGTCGATGCTAATGAGGTACCAGGACATACATCCTTTATGTATTGTCGAGTGGGGTTTATTATCCTCTTGTTAGAGGATTTAAAAGAAGTGGTACCCACAAATTTAGTTGCTTTGATTTCTGCCCAAAATGACGTTGTGAATTATAATCAGTGATTTTCAAGCCAGGGAAAGCAGTTTAGCATCTGTTTTCTAATCACCGGGACGGAGCACCAACGCAGTCTTTTAAACTGGGTGGCTGTCCTCTGTTTGTAACTGCGCTGAATAAATGTGTGCGATTAAATTAAGACGTTCACTTCTTCTTCTTCTTCTTGTAAATTACCGTGACGGTCTTGATGCGCCCGCTGCCCCTGGTGCAGGTCCAGCCGGATCGGTTGAACAGGTAGCTGCAGACCTCCCCCTCCAGGCAGGGAGCCATCTCGCACCACTGACGGCTCCGCACGATTCGCGCTGGGGGAGTGAAGGAAAAGAGGGCAGAAGAGGCAAGTTAGACTCGCAGAGAGAGACTTCAAATTGTCCACCCTTTTCTCTGCTCACCAGACATAAAAAAAAGGTTCTTCGTATGTTGACGTGTCTAAAAGCATGTAGTATTTTAATGGGGTCGTTGTTGAACCCCCATGTATGAATCGCCGGTGGTAGTAACCTTTACAGACCAGATGGCGGCACATAAATTACTCTCATGTTAATGCTAGCTTTCACTGCAGCTGCGAGGTCAGATGGTTTCTTCCTTTTGACATTTTGCAGCACTTAATACTACTCCCGAAAGCTTGTTTTGTCTAATTCTAGGTAAAATGTTCCAGTTTCGAAAGTTATTGTCCAATTTAACATTTGATTTATTTTTCCTGAAGTGCCGGTGAGCAATTTGATCTACAACGTGCGAGGGAAAATACACGTGGTGGTTTGTGCATCTGTGAGCTGTTCTGTGAAGTGTTTTGATGGTGCCTGTCTGTCTCCGATGAAGGCAAGAAATTGTGTAAAGTATATCAAAATACTATTTTTGAGGTGATGAGAGGAAATGGCTGGAATGGCAAGCATGCAGACCCCCCCGACAAGTAAACAAGGAAAACGATCAACGTTTGCAACAGAACAGCGGTGCTATAATTGGAACTGCTCTGAATTTCTGGAGATATAATGATGGCATGAAATGTTCCCTTTTCCATTTAGTTTTCATGTTGTCATTTGCATTGCATTCACGTTACACACAACAATGTGGTGTGATCATTGTTTTCTGCAATAAATCAGAAATGTCCTTCTGCAAATTATACATAACATTCTACGGCGTTGTACGTTTTAGGAGGAAAAGATCTGCAGGGAGAATTACTTTTATCTGGATGTTGGGCAAAGGTGTTAGTGTATATGATAACGCTTAAACATGTTGCCTCTCAGGTTACGGCCTGCTAATGCATTTGCACAAATTGTATAGCAGTAACTTTTTCAAAATGCAGATTAAAGAGGTGGATCACAGATTAGAAAGGCATCCGGTCTCCCTAAAACTTGCTGCAGCCATCGTCAGAGCGAGAGCCACCGGTGCTCTTCTTCTCCCTCCCTCTGCAGTCTCTCTGCATGACATTGAATTAGCATTCGCCTGTAGTCGATGCTGATAAGCTCTGATTGTTCTTTACACAGCGTGCAAAAGCAACACCAAAAGGTTATCGGCTCTCTGCGGACCTGGCCGGGGCCGCCGCTCCTGCCTCCACCCCGCGGCCCCCCTCGGGGCGACGCATTGTGGAACGAGGTAACGCGGTCGGCAAATTGAAAGAGAGGAGCACAATTCTTTGAATGTCCGCTGGCGAGCCGAGGGAGCGGGAGAGAGGGGGAGGGACGGAGGAGGAGCTGTGGCAAAGGAGGCCTTGTGACATTTTGCTGTTAGGTATTCCTGGTCCAGGCCTTGTTAACAGTCCGAAATGGCTCTTTGGAGTCTCACATCCGACTGCTGCTCCGCAATAAAGATCCGTCATCTTGTGGTATTTATTAAACGATCCCCGAATGTAACTGTAAGCCCACACACACACACACAATTATCTGTCTGTAGAAATAAAGCCATTCTATCATGAAATAATAGATATTGACACACTGGAGGAGGAGCCATGTCTTTGCACCGATGGTGCAGTAAGGCAGCAGTGGAACAAAACAATGCAGAAACTTGTCATCTCATGGCACCCAACAAGCTGAGGTAAATATTCAACTCGGCTTCACCCTGCGTAGAGGTTCCTCGGCAGGCGGGCGGGAGAAAATCTAAAGTGACCTTGCTCTTGACACAGCAACATGCGGTGGCGAAATTTTCATTTTCACAGCCATCCGTCAGGCGCAACAAAGCGAAGATTTATCAGCCAGTTGCAGATGTAGTTTTGACTACATTACAGGGGGAGCAAAACTCAATTTCCAGGGGCACAGAATAAAAAAAGCTGAGCTGGCAGAGTGGCGGGATTGCTGACTAACCGTGGAGTGCATCAGCCCAGCCAGCAGGAGGCTGGCGAGAATAAATGCTGCTGCCACAGCGTCGGGTCCTCGGTAACTCGCCCTTGTTACTTTCTCAATGCCATCCACGGCAGCGCGACTTGATCTACGAAGACTTGATAAATTTCTCCCGATGCCGTGAACCGCGCAGCGTTGGTTGGGATTAGAGCGTTGCCGTGACAACTTCGTCAACATCAGGCAAAAAAACACAAGCAGCTGCAAAACGGCAACGCTTGAGTTTAGCTTTCCGCTCGTCCCTATCCATCAAACCCATCCGTCTAATATGTTGGCACACGCGATTATGGGAGCATTTAAAAAGCTTATAAAGTACAACCACCCACACGCACAGCAACAACATCCCAAGTAGACTTTAAGCCTCGGAGCGGAAGATGCATGAAAAATATCTGTCTGCTGCTATTTTTCCATCCAACAGTATCATTTACATGCTGCTATTATGCAAACGGCGGAGAATCATTCTGCTTTTATTATGATAAGTGTCTGTTTGGATATGATTTCAGGGCCTGTTTGAAATGGTGGCGGCGTGCTGAAGCAGAGGTGAACCAGCTGGATGTAGTGATTGGAAGAGAGAGACAGAGACAGAGAGAGAGACAGTCTGGTTTGACACCCGGGTGGCCTGTCCTGTTGCAGGAATTGTCGGAAGGCCCACCCAGGGAGCGTGGACGTCGAGCCATGCTCGTCAGCTGCCAGGGTCCCTGCTGGGCTACGGATTCTGGACCTTCAACCAGATCACACGTAAGACCATCTGTCCCCCCCCGTGCTCAGTGCCAAGCCCTTCCCTCCACAGCACAACACTGCACTGCCAGACGAGACTCGGCCCGTGAGGCCCAACAGTGAGTCTGATGTAATTCTGCCTCTGCAGAAGTAAAACATAACATCAAATTTTCACCAAAGCCACAGGCAGCTCATGTAAAATGCATCCAGATGAGGTACAAACAAAAAGAGACAGTTTCAGAAATGTAGGAAAGAGACGAAGAGCGTTGAAAAGACGACGCAGTGAAATAGAGCACGCAACCAAACAATAAATTGTGTGTTACCTCTGGTAATTTCATAATAATTCTGATGCTTCTATTGCCAAGTATCCAACGAGATTTGCTAACTAGCTCAGCTGGGCACCAGAAACACTGTCGCAGCTTTCAACAGGCTTTCTGGCTGATGTTAATTAAGCTTCAATAATGGATCAATTTGTAGCGGCCAGATTTTCAGCCCTCTGTCCACGACGCTGCGCAACCTGCTACTAGAGCCCCGATGGTGCTTCAGTTCTAATTATGACAACAGAACAATCTAAAATTAAAATAGTTTTAAACCCAGCCAGCAGCAGAATGACTCAATACTTCATCCAGACTGTGAGTTTCTGTTCAGCAACCGTCTGAATTACAGAGTTTCTGTTGCATTCGTGTGGGCTCGTTTTGAAGATGGCTTAGCTTTTATTTTTATGTTTATCGAGCTTGTAAAACAAGACGTTACGTAGAACAGATTTTATAATCAGTAAGGAGGAAACTCCAAAAATGTATTTCATTCTAAAAACATTTTGTTATTGAAATGTTGCTCTGTGGGAAATATTATGCCAGATATATTGATTCTTTTTTTTACAGCATGATAGGGCCGGAAATCAGTTCTCCCCGTACTTTTTTGTAATTAGTGTCAAGCTGTTGCCAATAAGAATAAATTCTGTGTCCAACTGGGCAAGAAGTGTTGACACTGATGGCAGCTTCCCTGCAATGGGAAATAAAACTTGCAGACAAACTAATGAAGAGATTTACAATCTGTTAGAGAAGACAAACTCAGCAAGTCATTAGTGGATGTAGGTGTTGCTTTGCAGAATAAGTGCTGTGAAATGTATATTATGCTGATTTTGAAGAGAGACAATATGTAAACATCACGGGAGTGTGGAGTTTTCAAAAGTCTCTAATAAAATCTTTTGTCAAACAACTGTCTGCTTCTCTCTGCAGATGAGGTCAACAACTCTTTCAGGCCGTGTGTCTGAATTATATATCTGAATAAAAGCTTTTCTCTTGCTTAATATTTCAACATCACCTTTCCGTCTCTTTCGGCGTCCATAACCGCTGCGTGCACGTGTGGAAGCAGGAGCTTGCAGCCGCCACGTGAACCTCCTCCCCGCAGCCGGCACGCTCTCTATCACGGTGGCCATCAGGCTTCATACAATTACAGTGCGATGTGGTGGCATAGCAACAACGGGCCGCGGGAGCGGGAGAGAGCCAGGGAGCAGATTAGAGTGAGAGCCGGGTGACAAGCGAGAGAACGCACATAATCCTCCTGTGTACAGTCTGCAGACTAAACCTGCACAGCAGTGACACAGACGCACAAAAAATAAGAAGGAAAAAGAAAAAAAGAGGCTGTCTTGTTTCTGTGTTGAAAAAGACTTAAGAGAAAAAGTTGTTGCAGAGTGAGGAACTGCTCCGTGAATTAAAACAAATGCGGAATAACGCGAGTAAACACGTCATGCTGCAGGAACGATGCAGCCGCCATCTGGCGATCAATTCTCGGGTAAGTCGCATACATCATACTTTATTCGCTGCGGGGATAAGGTAAGCTCGTCGCCATGTCTTTATGAAAGTGCAAATGCTAGCAGGATAAAAAGGGAGATAACAATATTTGTCCAACTGTCTCCTTCAAGGCACCAGCTGCACGCTGTCCTCCCCAAGGGCAACATCATACGCAAGTTCATTACAGGAAACAGCAAAGAACTCAAGCTTTTGATGGGGATTATAATTGTGCAGATAAATCCACTTTTAACTCACTGCAAACATGGTCGAACATCAGCATATCAGTATGATAAGTGGCACTTGTTCCATTCAGCTAACACAATGCTGCGATATCCAATGTGACGTACATTCCACTGATGCCTTTTGCTGTTTGTAATGCAAGAATCGCTATGCGCCAAATTGCAGCAAACCGGCTGGCTGGGAGGGACTGCTTATCAAGATTTGTTTTGAGTTGTAATCCCCCCACCACCAGCATGCCAATCACTCTAACTGGCAGTGGAAATGTTCAAAAAACGTGTTAAGATGTGGGTTTAATTTCAAATTCGGGCTGCGGCACTTGAGATAAAGCATGTGACGAATGAGTAACAGGCAGATCCATTACTGCCCGCTTGTTTATCACAGTACTAATACTACAAAGTACATACTAACCGTTTCAAATTGGTACATAAGACAATAATGTACTTTACTACTTTGTACTAAAAGCAAATAATAGGCTGTAACCGTTTGCAGACGGATTGGCAGCTTGAAAGGCAATCAATAAAATCATTTAAAGGGGACATATTATGCCCTTTACCCACATGTTGATATGTCCTCTGTGGTCTGAATGAAATGACTAAAATATAATCTGGGGAAAATACCACAAGGATCATTGTGAACGGCACCCTTTTCAGCCTGCCAAAACCACTCTGCTTAAAATGAGCAGTGGTCTCAATGCTAATGAGCCGGCTAACCCCCCCCCCCAAAAAAAAATAAGGATAGCAACACTGAACAAGATAAATGCACATGTAGGCGAAACAAGCAGGCAGGTCAGACAGCACATCATGCTTGCACACCTTGGCAACAAGCCAATCCGTAAGGTCACTTAGGTTACTTGAAAGATACGTGTGGAATATTCATAATATGTCTCCTGTATTAAAAAAGGAGTGAAGGGTTCGGAGGCTAATTCAACCAGAGATTGTAATTGCGATTCCTCAGTGGTTCTTCCGTGGCATATGATTCTACACTGCACCCATGTATTATGTGGTTAATGCGTGCACGTCATATGAAACTCTGAGCCGCTGTTGTGTTGGCCATGAGTCAGCCGGTGTAGAGATTGCGTCATCTCAATGGGATGGTTCAGTAAAGGCTAAATCATAATTTTAAGAAGTGTGCTGAAGGATGCACATAAGGGGAAATCTGGCCCATAGGAACCGGCCTTTAATTCTGTCACTTCTCCAGTGTGTACGAAAAGACATGTATACAGTCAGAGTGTGTAGTTTGGTCTGAAGTCTGAAAGCAAATGAATTGAGTCAATACGTCGGTGGGAGCACTGTCCATGGTGCTGATTCTGGAGCTGTCATTTACATTTATTCAAGTACTGTACTTAATTATAATTATGAGGTTATTTTCCATTTTCTGCCATTTAATACTTTTACACCACTACATATAAAATAAAAATATTTCCATTAACATATGTAAAGATCCAATGAACATATTTAGGTACTTTACAGGTTGACATTATTAATAATACTAATAATTCAAAAATGTAGACATATGATGTAATATTAGAGATTAAGAAAATACTTTATTGTTCCGCGGGGTTACCTTTGGATACAACATATTTATTTTGAGTACATTATTTGACTACCACTTAATTAGATGGGAGGGGCAATAAGTTATCTTATCTTGTCAGCATACAGCTTCACCTGCTGTCAACAAATAGTCTGAGTATAATACGAACTTGTCAGTCCTGCTTTGGTAGTGAGATGGTTGTAGGCAAGTCCTTTTATCTCCAGCATCCCGCGTTTGATTCTCTTGTTGGGATTTTCGTGTCTTATGATTACACTCTCTCCCTCCTTATTATCAGCTGTTATTATGTTACTACAGCAAAGAAAGATGCACCTTGAAGACATTCTGTATTATGTATTAATGTTATTCTTCCTAACTGCCTCACCTTCAAGTTTTTTTCTTCTTTCATCACGAGATCCGTATCACTCACCTTCCTAAATCTCCAACGCATCATTCCGTCAGCGACTCTCCATCTCATCTTGTTGTTTGTTTCTTCTTTCCCTTTGTTTGTTTTCTTATATTAGTCCGGCTTTATTAGACGGTGAGTGTAAATACAGCCATGGGGGAGTGAGGTAGGGTAACATCATGCAAAGAAGATCCCCCACTGTAACTGAAAGGGGAACTTTCATGCATCAATTCCTCTCTATCACTTTACAAATCACCCCGAACAAGAGCTGCATGTGTAACTGGACTTGGTCTCTTGGTCTGGAGGAGTTTTTCTCTGGCAGTCAGACACTGCTGAAAGCTCTTTTTACGGCTATCTTGGTATTGGTGCATTACCCACATTACCCACAGAGGGAATTTACATTCATTTGTAAAGTGTGGAGTGCAAGACCACACCAATTTGCTATGGGACAGAAAGGACACGACTACCTGATATTATCTGCAAAAGGGAAATGCATTGAAATTGCAAAGAATGCTATAATCCCCGAGCAGAAAAGGTCATAATTAACGGACTAAAGAACTTTAAAAAAGAGGAATTAATTCCAAGTTAATGAAAAGCAAACCAGGTGTCGAATCGACATTAAAGTAAAAAAAAAATCAGAAAAGTCATGTAAACACACATCTCATCTCAAGACAGAGCTCGTGCCCTTTGATTAATCACGACAGTCAGTCCGCATAAATGGTCCAACTTTAATTAAAGGTCAGTCTTGTATATCCACACATCTCAGAAAGGCAGAAGTGCACTCCTGCTGCTGCAGTGAATGAGTTATATTAAGGTGTCCCAGAGGACAGTGAGCCCTTGCTGCGCTAATAACTGTTCAGGGAAAACCACCGGAAAGCAAAGCCTCAGTGAGAGACACAAAGGAATAAAGGCGTCTATAAGTCGGTCAATTTTGGTTTATGTGCTAAGGGGGACAGAAGGGGTATTCATTCAACAGTGTTACTGAACACACCCTGAGATAAAAGGTCAGAGAGGAACTTCCACTTTAAAGCCTCGTGATGATGGACGCCGTTTTCGGTTGTCAGCAGAAAGCCCCTTAAACGAGCAACAGGTTGCGTCTTTAATGCACAGGCTATTAATGTAGTGTAGGGTGCGGCGCGGCGGGAAGCCAGAAATAATCAATTTCCTGCTGCTGTAATCATAGCGCTCTGTAAGTTAATTAGCATATGCCGCGGAGAGGCGTCTGTGGAGCGGTGGTTAAAAGCAGCGTGGCGACAGTGACACAGTCTCGTGTCGGGGATATTAGATTAAGGCTAACATGAGTCATTGCGCAATGAAACTAATGGTGCATCTGATACATTTGAGATCCGATCAGAAGCACAGATGGACTTCGCCTCGGCGGTCTTATCATCCTCGTCTCGATACTGTCCAATAACTCAGAGGAGGGGCTCCAAAGTACAGAGTCGTAAGTTAGAAAGTGCATAAATGTCACGCATTCTCTTCTTTGGTGAGCAGGAGTGCATTGAAAAAACACCAGAGGAAGTGGGGAAAGTCCACATGAAGAGGCAGGGCTAATGCAGACAGCCGATCAAAAAGGGCGATTATTGATTGAAATTACATCTACGTCTGGTGTTTTGTTCCCGAATCAGCATTTTTTTTCTTTTTTTCTTCTTATAATAAGTTCTGACAAATACGTCATTGCTTCATCAAAGCATCAGAGCCACTAATCAAAGGTTCTCTTACGCTAGGTGCTATTCATCCAGGTTAATGGTCATGTATGTAGTCACCACGGAGGATTAGAGCACCACTCGTGGTCTATTCTAATGTGTCTCTCGCTGAAATAACATCAATAACAACTACACTCCATTCACATGTGCCCGACGCGAGGCCTTGGTGATGTGCATGAGACTCTACCATCAATAGAAATGAATAATACTTACACCTGTGCTATTCATGTTAGAACTTAGTTAGAAATGTTCTTTTTATGTCTAAATAGTTAATGAGTCCACATGATATTACTCGTAATTGTCGCTGCTGTATTTTTCTTTTAATTATGTTGACAAATTGGATGTTTATTTTGCCATTATACACTTTTTATTTGCATAGCGCTTTTCTCTATTTTTTGGCCCTAAGTCACACATCTAAAGAAGTAATGAATTAGTCCAAGGCCTCGATTCAAACTGTGGACCCCATGAACACAAACTTGAAGGCGTGTTCGCGCATTGACGGAATGTTTTTGTTCATTTACTAATCGATCAAACGGTCACTACAGCTGATACAGCGATGCCTATCATGGGAATCAGGTTGCAATGAGCGAATTAAATCACATTAAAAACGACTGATCTTTCAGGAGTTCAGCATGCATTAACCACACGTGAGGAGTCTCGTTCGACTCACCGTCTACACATGCCGGCCTCGCCCTGGTGGTGCCGGCGATCTGGCCTCTCCGGCAGGCGCAGCGGGCCGTCTGCCTTGCGATGGTGCGACGTGGGACGCTGCTGTCTCTGTTGAGCATCACGATCTCGCAGGTTCCCACCGCCAACTGGCCTGTCGAACACAGCAGCGAGGAGCAAAGTACATTGCGTTAGCAAAATGAGGGTGTAGGGAACATATTGCAAAGGAGAAGCAGGTCCACACAAGGTGCGACAACCGGCGGCCCGGGGAGACGGTCTGCAGAGGACTGGACAGTTTAATGCTCGTATTTAAAATCTCAAATGGAAGAATGTGTTCAAAGGCTTTACAAGCAGCGGGCTAGAGGGCTTCTTCACTTTTTATAGAGTATGGCTGGATGATCTGTTGATGAAAGCGTCTCATAGTGATGCTGTGCATAGTGAACAAAGATCCAATCAAAAATCTGCTAAAATGACGTTTTCTTTTTTTGTTAGGCATAACGGCAAGTTAATAACCTACCGGACTAAAGCTCCATGAACGTGGTAAAATAAAGTTGTCGCAGAAATGATGTGCGACTGACTCGGTTGACACGGCAACAGCAGCTCGGCCTTGTCGTCCTATACGGACCAAATTTAGTACTGAAACGGCAAATGGACGGATTGTCGAAAGTCGGGATCACCTACGTAGGCACCGAGGTGTGAGTGTGCTCGCTAATCTTACATTTTCAATTCAAGCATTTCAATTCAACCACAAGGGATTACACAGAGATGGATAACAGCAAACAGCCGAGCTAAAACAATGGTGTTTTCAATGCAGAGACGTATTAAAAAGAACCCCGTGCACGGCCCATTGTGGCTTCATCGACCACTTAATGTCATGACAGCAGTTTTGTTTGGGTAAATTATTTGGATACCCAAGGCAACATATTTAATTGGGTTTTATTGAGGCCTTCCTGGTTTGTTTGGGGGAATTATTATATGTTAATTGTGTCGTGTTTTAGAGATAAACAAGCTTTAATCGCAGTAAATTGCTCAACTGTGCAGCTGCATTTGGAAGAACAAATTCAACACATTGTATCTAGATGATTTTAGGTTGTGCCTTTTTCATTTATAATCAGAGGAAGGTTTACTGCAGCCTCAAATTAACAAATCAATAGCCTGCTGGACAACTGGAGTACATCTTCTCACGGCAAGTTTGTTAATAAGCGAATAAGCGAAAGAATGTATAACTGCTCTGCTAAAGCTCCAAAAAAGGCAATCTGTAATGCCTTTGTAATGATCTGAAAAAAAGCAAAATACGTTCTTCCAGTGAAAGGCATTCAGGCCGATAAAACAGATCAGAAAACCGTTGGTGCTGCAGTTCTTGTAAGGTCAATCTGTGGCCAAACAGCCTCCTTAGCGCTGCAGTTTCTAGTCGCTTCCCGACGCCCTCAAAGGTTCATTAGGTGAGACGCTAACTGCTCCGTAGAACTAAATGCCTGTGACAATGGCAAAGGTTGATCAACACAAATGACTCACGGAACTGCCTCGGCACGACCCGAGAGGCTTCAGGAGCTTCTGGTTTCATATCAAGGCGTGTTGGAAATATTCCAGATGACGCAGGTGGTTTGGTTTGATTACGGCAGCCTTGTGACCTTTAACATAAGGTCAAGATGTCTGTGGAGAGACTGGATCCTGCACATTTTTGTAATTCCGTGACCTTTCCCTTTGTGTCACCGTTACCCAACACTTGGGCCCATAACAAGGATGATTTAGCCGTAACTTCCCGATCCACGGAGAAGGCCTGATGAACCATGTTCACAGCTGCAGACTTTGGTCCTGATGTTTCTCCCCCGTCAGTGTGTCCACAAGCCCCAGCTTACCAAACCAATCTGCATCTGGCTGAATTGGTGGATGGGTTTGTTGGTCTCAGTGACGGCTACTTTTTGTGATGTAGGCTGATAATATTTTTGTGTTTTTTCATGAAATGATTACCTAGACCGGCCTCGGGAGTCATAAAACACAACAACTCTACGATGAATCGCTATGCACGCTTCCTGTCATAGCATCACCCCCCCAGCCACCGCGCGGCCCACTCCCTGTGTGCTGGTGGGTGCTCGGGGGACGGATCTGCCATCAGATATTTCAACGCTGAACAGATGAATGAGCTTCATAATAAAACAAAAGCCTCAAGGAGGTGAATAGTAAGAAGGCGGGTGGGGGGGCTTTGTAAAGTGCCCCTCAGTCACGGCCAGCGGTCCATCATATGTGCAGGAGTTAATTCATGTGACAGGGGCTTCTGTCACTCAGCAGCGTGAAGACGCTCGGCCTCGTCTCTATTTCACGTGATGAAACGCTCGTGCAGCAGCGAGGATCGGCGCCGCGCGGCCCGTCGAGGGTCCTCGGATCCCCGTCAGACATCCAGGGGGCCACACGAAGCCCATGCGGAGCACAGATACCGTCTGTCAGCGCTGACTGGCAGCCTGATGACCGTAACACTGAATCACAGCAACGTGGTTAAAACACACACACACACACAGCTCAGCGCTAAGGCGCGCTACGTATCGGCGCCTTGATCAGACACGCCGCGGATTGCAAACCACAAGCACAAACATCTCAGTATCTCCGGCTGAAACAGGCTGCCAGGGGTGCACGCTCGCTTTCACAATGCGCCCCTGATTCAATGTGCGTCACAGCCGGGCGGCGAGCCGGTGGGCATGACAACGTCAAACTACAGATGCATCAGACTGGCCGGCTTTGACCTCATGAAGTGAATGTGTAAAAAACGAATAATCATCCTTCCTGTTAAACGTCGCGTTCTGCTCTTGAATTAGACTCATGCATAAAACCTTCACTTTGTTTTGGATTATCTTCTTTTTTCTTGTCTTTAGTTAAGACTGCGTGAATAAATCAGCAGTTAGTCCTGACTGATAAAACGCTTTTGTCAGATTAAACAGACAAACACATCAGACACAGAACCGCTCCCATATTCAAATGAAACCAGATTGGGAGCAAAGAGAAAGGCTCTGATTCTCCTCAGGGAATTTGCCATAAAATTATATGACAGGCTGCACTGAACTGAACTATGACAAGGATCCCATTTCCATATTAAAACAATTTCCCTTTATAGATTGTAATTACTCGCGGGCTGCTTAAGATGGAAGGTTTTACAAATTGGAGAGTTAAATTGGAGAGGGTGCCTTCGCAAACTACCGAATCAAACCGTATTTATTACATATACCATTTCATGTAAAGCTAGTTCGGTTAATTATTCATGACAATATGTGTTGTATTTGTATTCCCCGTAGAGACACAGCTAGCGTGGAACCATTCCGGTTGGGTCCGGCGCAAACGTTCTGGCATTGAATCTAACCTGTTTTTTGTCTCTTTTTTTTCCCCTGACAGAGTCAATCAGACAGTAATCACTACACTGGCATACAATAATAAGTCTGAGTGATTATACGCTTTACCCCGTATGCTCGTTTCATGATTGAAGTGCCCGGTCTCAAGAATACGAAATTGGACTGTCAACGAAGCGCTCAACTCAGAGCGCGTGACAGACATATCGCCGCGCATCAAACCGGATGTGAACCTGTCTGATCTTTTATGGCAGATTTAGAATTGAAGAAGAGACACAATACGTTTTGACAATGCAGGTAATCAGTCAAAATTGATTTTGTGGTGTGCGGCTGTTTTCACATTTTCAAAATGTGATGACAAATGACTTGACCTTGCGGTGCTTAACAGACGCTTTACTCTTGAAATGTTCACGAATGCAAATCCAAGTAGCCCTTTCCAACCTGAGCAGAAGAAAGATCGTTAAACAGCCTCTTTTTCAAAGAGCCTTGCACAACCGTTGGAACAAGAGAGGAAATCCCGTGTCTTGCTCAGAGACACAAATGGACAAGAGGAGCTGAGGTGAGACATAACAGCGATTAATCGCCTTCCTGTGGTTCCGGGCTCAGAGCAGCAAATGCTCACATTTGACAAGCTGAAAAACCGAGGAATGGGCCTCGTGCAAGAAGCACTCTAACACACAGCTTTGTTCTCAAGTGGAACAAGTGATTTGTAAGAATGTGTTCACCGGTTTTCTCTTATTTAGATTTTTATCTTCGCTACCAACAAAATTGCTTTCAGGCCTTGCAGGCGAGTTGTGCGAGGATAGTCGTCCTTTCTCCCGCAGGCTGGGGAACACTTGTTTGATTCAAACATTGCGATGCCTCGATCTCATTCTATTTACATGCTGGAGAAAGAAAAAACAAATCAACCGGGATCCGATGTTCATGCTTCCTTGTTTCCATCCAAAAAATAGCAGGAGTAAAAGTTAAATATTACAAATATAGTCATGAACAGGTGGCATTCATTCACTTAAAATGAGCCATTCAGACTTTGCAGGGGTTTGTACCACTCAGACTGCCCTTTAAAGTAACAAAAGAGATTCAAGAGTGTGGGTTGCAACTAAGGCTGATCTGCTGCTGAGTCAGTGAGTGAGTCATCATGGCAAGACGTTGTCCTGCAGGTGTCCACTGGAGCAAGAACTACCCTAGAAGTCATTGGCCAGGTGTCTCTATTTCTGTCTGTGGACAGATCATGTGACCACGACAGAGTTACAACAGTGTAAGATGCATTCAAGAAACTTACACATGCAGGTGGTTGACTGAAGATGGTCGTGGCATCGTTGATTTTCAGCATTTTCGCATTGTTATTTTTCAGTTCCTACCAATGTGGTTGTTTCAGTCCTCATAAGAACGTCAGAGTGTTCTTGCATGAGGCCCATTGTTTCTTTTTTTTGCTTATTGACTACAAAAATACTACCAGTATTTCAGTCCCACCTGTGCTGCATAGTTCACCCATGTTGACCACCACTTGGTATAATGTTGTTCAGTCACAGAAGCCGGAAAGACGGCATTTCAACATAAACACATTTATCCCAGTGATCTGGATTTCAAATCCACAGCTGCTTGTGATTCCATCTGCAGTGTTTAGTCCTAATCTTCCCTTCACGCGGGTTTCCATCTCGCCGCTGTGTCTGTGGCTAACAGCTCAAGACAACATCAAACAGCAACCTTGTTCTGCTGAGCATATGTTAGTCAAAGCGGCCACCGCCAAGTGCTCATCTCATTACCCCGACAGCGTTTGATAAGGAGACGGAGAGCAGGGAGCACGTAATTGGACGCCAGGTGAAAGAGGCAGATGTTGAAGTGACCCCATGCTATACGCGTCCTGACACCACAGTGATGCTCCGCTGCTGAACAAGTAGGGCACCAGAGCAGTGGAGCGAAACACGCGCTTTATATCAATGTGCCTGGTCCCGCCGCTCGGCTTCGTTTGAATAGTGTACGGCGGTCCGATCAATATTTATGCGAGTGAACAACCCTCAGCTGAAGTCGGAAGACCCGTAATGGTGCCCAAGTATGCCATTTAACATGAAAGCCGATGGAAATGAATCAGGAACAACGGCAGAGAGAAGTGTGGGGGCGGCCGGGGTGACTCCTGGAGATGAGTGGTATGTTATGCTGCTGCGGGACGAGGCTCATTTATCTGCAAGTAGTCAAATGAGCCCTGAGTTGGCCGGCGGTCGGTCCACTCTTCATTGTTCTGCAGAGCAGCTCCGGCTCGCACTTCATTATGACGACGCAGTTTGGGGTTTTCTGCCATAAAAAAAAAAGCTCTTTGCATGCACAAGCGCGTACCTGCGCTGCAGAAAGCTGCGATATTTCCCATAGCTGCGCCGGGCACGATTTCTGTGCAGTTGCAAGCGCCCAGCGGGGCTGCAGCAGCCGAGGCGCCAGACGTGTGTGCTCTATTTGCTCAAATGTAATCCTCTCGTCAGGTGTGTGCACCGCTCCACCCACAGGGGACAACAAATTGAAACTTCTTGTAGCGGCAGCAGGATGGAGCTCCTTCCCCCCCCGGGGAGTAAGCCGGAACTCAACGACGTTAAGATTGTTTCCTCCCTGTCACTGGAAAAGCAGGAGCGTGCTGTTTAGTCTGTTAACGTCACTCTTCTGGACATCCAGGTCGCTGCGGTTCAACTTCGTCTTTAAACCGTTTCCACTCTCCGCCGCTGCCGTTGTGTGACATTGCCGAGGGCTGCTTTAAAATAGAAAGTATAGTCGCCTTACCTTCACCCAGTGCACAGGGGGGGGTGATTCAGACCCGCCCGTGGACGGTACGCGCGATGGAGGCGGCGTTCTGATAGATTTCTGTGGCAGCGATGCAGCACAATCCGGGCTGCAGAGATATTACAATATAGAGTACACTCAGACAATTGGTCGTGGATGAATACAGACTCGGGGCGTAAAAGAGCGGATGTACAATATGGCTTCCAAAGCAAACTGCGATGCAGAGGGCGGGCTGATGCCACAGTGACTCACATTGAATCGCGTGGCCCTCCAGGACGCCCTCCTTCTTTAACGCAAGCCCAGAGGAGAGGGTGAGCGTCTAGTGAGCTATTAGGACCCAAAGGGTACAGTAATGCGTTATTGTGAGAGACACGGCTTCAATATCAAAGCAGAGGCCTCTCCGAAAGCATGTTCGTGGCGTCAGGCGGGAAATAGATCACAACACAACACTGAGGGAACAGAACTCAAATCATTTACAGCACTCTGCCAATGATGGAGCAGTTTGAAGCCCAGAGCTTTCCACGGAGAAAATAACAATGCAGAAAAACATAGAGCGGTGCACTGTACTCAACCACGAGGGAGGGCGAAGCTGAAGGCTAGAAAGAATTCATAATCAGGGAGCTATGAAATATGAGCTTTGTCGACTGCCAAATTGATTTAGCTGTAAAAATTATTTTCCCTTTGTTCCATAAAGATGCTCATACTTTTACAGCTGCGCCGCCTATAGAAGCAGACCTCGATGATTTGCTTCGAATTCAGAGCCAAGGTCACAATCAAAGCGGGTCTCCCTTTGCATGCTTAATGCCGTCTCGAAGAAGACTGCAATGGAAATCATCCTTTTCACTTCAAGAAGTCAGTAATTCTCTGCTACTCTGATTAGTTTAACGCTCGGATGGATAGGCCCTGCTCCCCGACTTAGAAGAGAAGGCACCCAAAGATTTTTGAAATTCCTCATTCTGGTGAGGACTCGCTGTCTCCCACAGAAGAGCTGATTTCTTCAACAAAAAAAAAGAAAGAATAGAGAGAGGAATCCTGATGGCATCAAAAACAGCTTACCAGGATGAAATCAGTCTGGTTTGGGATCGACATTTGAGGAGGAGAAATCAGAGACAGAACGCCAGACGAGTGGGCCGTCGTCGTCAGTGGAGCTCTGCTGATTTTAAAGCCACGGTGACTCGTACTAAAGTTTTGTGACGCCGGAAAGATTGTTGGAAAAGTTGGTTCCCCACGTCCAGGATTTGTCTTCATGAGGCACGATTCAATTATTCACAAACAAATCAAAGCCACAGGTTAATGATGATACGTGCACTTATATGAGTGTAGGATCTGTAGATAAAGTCGTCGAACCATGAGTGATACTCAACATTTCTAAGTTAAGACAAAACGGCCTCCATTTGGCCCCTTAGCACAACACACAAACAAAAAACATTTAAAAAGTTGTTTGTGCAAATCGCCTACTTTCTCATTCAGCAGCCAAGGAGCAACTCAAGCATTCGTGTGGAGATATTTTTTGGGCTACCGGACAAATCGATCAGCGTTCACTCTCCTCAAAGCTCGTGTTGGATCTCCACCAACTCCCAAGAAAAGTTCAGCCTCAAGAACTCTCTTCACCAGCTAGCTGCACATTTTGTTTGTCTTCCATTTAGGATTTTAATCTGCCGTAAGAAAGAATTAAACTTAAAAACACTTCTACATCGGCCTCGCTTTTCAGAACCTGTCACACAACCATGTGATCCACTGTTAATATAAAAATATATATATTAGGAGCTTTAAAAAGCTTCATGTTATGTTTGTTATGCATCTAAACAAATGGTTTGATTGACAGATGATCTTTGGAAAGTGCCGTACATAAATATCATGAGAACTGGCCTCATGTGATCAGATTCATTCAGAAGGAACATTTGTATGTTCCCATGTTCTTGGCACCCGAGTTCCTTGAGCTGAGTTGGAGCAAAGGCCAAATGTCCATTTCAACTCAACAAAAGTGGCTAAAAATGCTCCATCCCCTCCTCTTTTCCTCACACACGCACACACACACACAAACCCAAAGCAACGTGGTCGACAAAGCCAGCAGCGGTTGCCGCTCTCCGACTGCACCACTGAACCGGAATGTGGTCCAGCAAGGAAATCCAGACATTTCCAAATTTATCGTCAAATAAACTGGCGAGGTTGAGAGCGGCTGACAGGCCATTGATCGGCGCGGGCGCCGGCCCAATGGTGTGCGCGCTTACAGGGCTGCTGCGCTTTGATTTCCTGTCCTGGCCGCCATGACGGATGAGATACGGAGAGGGTGCAGGCGACGCAGCCTCCAACCGCCACGCGGCGTCACCTCTCTGCCCCCCCCGGCTCAACCACAAGCGTCTGAGCTTGTAACGGGGGGGCGGTGGGGGCTGGAATTGCTGGTCACGAAAGCGACGAGTGGTTTGAATCCATCAGCGGTGAGCGGGTCACACAATGTCAAATGTATGCTGTAAAGTGGCCGAACGAAATGGTCAATTAAAAAAAATCAGCGGTGCACTGATCGACTCTCAAAACCGCCCTGACTGGTCACAGCTGATGGTTTTCAAAAGGGGGGATTTTGGGGAGGATTTGAAGATTACAAGTAGGGATTAAAAAAGACTTTGTGCTTCATTCTTTAAATTCGGCTCAGGGCTGGAAGGAGGAGCGAGCAGCACACAGAGAATGTCAACGCTCGAGTCAAATCCAGAAGTGCTAACCAGGCCAAATCCAGCAGAAATCTATTTACGCCAGGAATATCAAGGGTGGTAAAGTTCATAAAACATCGATTTGACTATTTTGTACAATAACACTATAATGAGATCGTATTTCGGGTGAAAATGAGTCAATAATAAAGCTCCGAGGGGAGGAGGAGGGCTGCTGTTGCTCCTCTGATAGTCTTGAGAGACAACGGGAAAGGGAGCACCTTGCAGTGCACAGGCCGCTCATTTCTCACGGATCACTGTCTACTTTTGTTTCCGGCAAGCTGCCAAAAATATTGACGTAGGCGGCATTTGCTACTTCCCAGCGCTAATTACGCTGCCGACCAAAAGGCTTGATTAAAAGATCTAATCCACAAAACTTAGTGTTCGGCATCTCCCAACAAGCCCCAATGCTTTACGCCGGCTCCCGTGCGTCTTTGACGCCACTGAATCTGAAATGTTCAGTAGTGGACAGAAGCCAAAATGAGGTGCGGGGGAAACATCCTTTTGCTTTCTATTCCGTCAGGGTGGAGGTGTAATTGCACCAGCGGATGTATTATTCAAGAGGTAAAGCATGGCATGGATGGATATAGCCTTAACCAGAGTGAAATTATAAACGCTTTGAAGGCAGGAGTCGGGCCTCCTCCTGTCTGTGCACAGAATTAAAGCAAGCAAACTGTGTTGTGTTGTTACCGGAAGCTCAATTATTCTTGTGCAAAATCATCTTTCCACAGAAGAACCTGCATCCGAATCAAGGAAACCACAAAAGATTCTATATTACACTACTGTGAGCACATGGGCATCGGTAATACCACATGCTAAATAAAACTAAATCCAACAGTGTGACTGTGGAGTACCACATGATTCCATCGAATCAGACCACAAGGTGCAACAAGGTCACCACGAGTTGAGTGGCGATGAGCACAGACACGTTACAAGTCTCCTCGTGGGGGGGGGTCTAACAAGTCGGCATGGGGGTTTCTTTCATCACAGGATATGAGCACACCTGCTGCATGCCAATAAGGAGCCCTCGGACACAATGCTGATGGTGTCAAAAGTATAAAAAAAAAAAAAAAAAAAGAAGAAACAAGCAAGCGGCCGGAAGTGTCCTTACCCTCTCTGAGCAGATGGGAGTAGATGAGCCAGAGGAGCAGCAGGCAGCAGAGTGACGCACCTCCACCTGCGGAGAGCGTCTTCGCCCCAGACTGCATCCTACACCTTGTCAGCCTTGTCTTCCCTTCTCTTCTTCTCTCTGATTATCCAAACTTTGAACGCTTGCGTCGCTCAGATGTCAAGCAGATGGGCGGAAGAGTGGCTAATCCACTGGCGTCTCCACAGGCTGTCGTCGGCATCCATTTTGAGGTTATAGAAGGAGAGGGACTGATAGTAATCCCCCCCCCCTTGATTTTTAAATTCCCTCGGTGAGCCGCATATCCATCCAGGCTGCTCACACAAACACGCACACACACACACACACACGCACACACAAGCACGCACGCACAGAGCCTACAATGTCACCAGATCTGGCCAAGTTTACGCAGCTGTGGTCTCCGAAGCTAAAATTCACTGGCAGCAGTGAGCAGCAGCAGCAGCAGCGGTCCCCCCCGCCGCCGCCCCCGTGAACACCCCCCGCAGCTCGGATCCTCACTCGGAGACGCCGTTGATGTAGTCTCACAACACCCTGGATGCCTCCGTCGACCTCCGAAACTGTTATTATTCCCAAACAACTCGCGCCCGGAGCGCGCCTCCGTGCGCCTCTACAGAGGGACGCGCGAGTTGACGCGGGCGGACGCGACGAACAATCAGCAACTGGGCGGACAACTAGTCCGACACCGTTCGAAGCCCGCTTTTGGTGTTCTTGGTGCCTGGTCTTTCTGTGTGGGTTAAACCCGACGCCGAGGGCGCGCAGACGCCTATCTCGTGGCACAAGTTGGCGCTGCAACTCCCGCCTAAAAATGGCAGTAGGGAAAAACAGCTAGTCGGTTCGCGCAGCGCGCGGAGAAGTTGGACACACGTGTCACCTGCGCGAGCTTTGGCGCTGCGTCCGCGGCGTCCGCTTTTCCCCGCGTGCTCGACAAAAAGAATAGTGGGTTAGTGAAGCTTCCCGTCCTGGCCGAGTGCGGGGCGGGGTGGGGCGGGGGGTCGGGGGGGGGTAACGGAGGAGCCTTTCTCCGTCCCGGTCGGCTCAGTTTGCGTTGCAGGCGATGCCGAGGAGGAGGTCCTCCATTCGATCCGTGGAAGGAGACACTGCTGCTGCGCCCGGAGTTGCCTTGAGTTACAATGTTTCCATCTGCTCTCTCTCTCTCTCTCTCTCCCCCCCCCCCCCCCTCTTTCTCTCTCCACCCTCCACACACACACACCCTCCCTACACACACACACACACACACACACACACACACACACACACATCACACACACACAGTGCCCCAATTCCTTCTGCAAAGTGAGAGGATAGAAATCCCAACGTGATGCTCATTTACACACAGTGAGATGTCCCCTCCCGGCCCACAGGGACACACAAAGCACCACCAGCCTCCTCCCTTTGCGGACATCGTCTCCGTGTTTGTGTGCCTTCCTTTACGGCTGGAAAGACGATCCCCCCTGAGGGTTTGAATCAAAAGGTTCCTCCGGAGGACCTGCGATACAATATTAAGGCACAGGTCACATACCGTCTAGTCTCAAGTGTGCACATGGTTCTAAAGGAGGCCAGTGGAAAGAGCACCATTTAAGCCCCTCGAGGACCATCGCTGTAACCCCCCCCAATCAACCGCAGTGGCTTTTCATGATGACAAGGCCTGTCTCACAGTGTAAGAAACATGACTGGGCCTTAAACTGAAACATTTGTTGAGTATATAAGGGATTTCTAACAACCTGCTGATGTTTTTTGCTTTACTGTACCCAGCAGCAGCGGGGAACTTGGAAGATGGTGGAGGAACTAGAGGAAGCGTTTGGGCTGCCGAGGTGCGATCTGATTTCTTCCCCCGTCTGCAGCTCGTCTCGGCCGACTAGTGGAGAACATTTCATTCTGTCAGAGTGACGTCCCAGCCGGGGTTTCAGAGTAATTAATCATAATGCATCACTGTGACTGACAGGGCAATGAAATTCTGCCAGTTTAATTTTGACCCATCATACTTACTTGCGTATTTACCAATAACAGAAGTATTACGTAAAAAAGATTATTCTTAAATGATTCAGATTGTAATTGTATTGTCCCGCCAGTGAGTGCAATTTAAAAGTGCTGTGGTTAACAAAAAAATAAATGGGAAAATCACATTTTAGAGTCTTTCATTCAGACTGGGTGCTTATGCAAATGCACGATGGCTGTTTTATTAAAGATGGTGTGACGACCCTCCCACTCAGTTGCCTTGTGTTTCCTGGAACGCTCGCCTCTCTTACGAGCCAATCCGATTGGAACCTCCAAGAAGGCCATGAAACACGGCACTTTTGAGGAGTGTCGCTCTCTCTCAGCGGGGGGGGGCCGCCACCCAGACTCAAACAAACCAAACTCGTAGCGGAATGAAACGGTATCCGGAAAGTGTCCACAGGCTGTCTCATGGTCAACCAGCTCCTGCTAGTGTGTGCTGTTGTTGGCTCGTTTGGCCATTTAGTTCCGGCCTTAAGGTGCAAACATGGGTTAACTTACAGAAAAGAAAAGACTCAACGGGGAGCAAAGAAAGACTTGGTGTTAACCCTTCAGCTGACTCGACAAAAGCCTTGATGCCATTGAGAGTCTGAGGACTCAGTTTGCTTCCACAGAAATGCACCGTCCAAACAAGTTTAATTGGTGCATATTGGTGGAAAGTGGCAAAGTTGCACAAATTAAGCCTCATATGTTCCATATGGTTAAACAAGCACTCAGCTACAGAACTGACTGTGTTTTGTTTTGTGGAAGGGAAAGAAGCAAGGATCATACAGCGGCTGTATGAGGAGCGAAGAAGGATATTTCCGACTATATTGGATCGGAGTATTTTTTTAGGTTGCGGCGGATTCCTCAAACACTGAAAGCGGGGAAATGTTTTCCAGTGCGTGTGACATTTCCCTCTGTGTCGTGGAGGAACGCAGCGCGTTAGCTGACTTTCATGAAGACGCTGATGAAACTCAAAATGATGAACTCTTCGGATGTTCAGACACATCACTGTACGTGCAGCAGATAACGTCAGCTTTGTAAAACGCCGCTCTGTGCACCAGTCATTGAGTTAATTGCTCAGCCCATATATAGCTCAGAACATCTGCAAGCACGTCTGCCAACAGCTGTCTATGATATTGAGTCACTTGTTTCAAACATCTACTTTATGGTGTCATGTAAGGACTTAGTTGTGCCAAAGGGAAAAAAGAATTTCATAGAATATCCATGAAAAAGTATATTTTACATTGCATTGGAAATACAAAGTCTTGATGTACTGAATGTCCCAAATCCTTCACTACTCCCTACTGTGAAGTTCTGTGTAGAGGACTATATAGTGAGCTCATGAATAAAAAATGTATTAGGTCAATTCATGGGTTTTCGTGAGAAGTATATATTTGCTGAGGCTGTGCAGTTACTTCTTAGAGTGAGCGAATTTAGGTTCATTAGCAGTGATACTGCGTACTTTTATCCAGGGCTTTTACTGTGAAAAGTAAAAATTGAGTTAAGAGTAAAGCGATGTGCACTGACCTAATTATAAGTATAAAATACTTTGTGTTCTAGATAAACATGACACCTACACCAGGAGCCTCAATTGGCACACCTCATTGTTTGTAGTTCATTTCTACCATAAAACAAATGAACCATCAAGCATCAAGATTCTCCACCTCTTACAATAAAAGTCTTAGCCTTAAAAGTCTTAGCTTAACTTTGCTGAAATAATTAATGTGAAGGGAAGGTGGGAAGGGAAAAGGTAATATGACCCTCATCCATGAATGCACATACTTTTGATTATGTTAGTTATTTTACTATTAGGACACCTGAAATGTATGAGCATGAGCATTAGGACACGCAGTCACTTCAACAGTGTGATTGTTTTGCTCATATCAAATCAGGACAGGCCAGAGCCGTGTGGACCTACAACTCCAATCCGCATTTTCCAGCCACCAGCTGTTCTCACGCTCTGCTTACACGCCAGAGAGGAGCAGATGGTGCAGCATTGCATCTTTGGGCCATTCTGCAAAATATTTGAAAGGTGAGCAGATACTGTCACTACTGTTAAAATCGGTTTTTAGAAGCTCAAGAGATTTGTTTCCATTGTCGAGCCAGCTTTAAATAAGGATAAACATGTCAGACAAACTGCGCAACCTGCATTTGCAGTATTTGTACTTCTTAGTTGTGCTGTATACTCTCTGCATATATTCAAGCACTGACATATTTTGCATATAGGTTGGCGGAATACCAAGAAACTATTGTCACTCGCATTAGCTCGCATGCCAAAGTGCTGTAATTAAAGGTGGTGGTGTGCAAAAAAATGACTATATATGTGTACATATATGTACCCATGTATTTTAGTGAAAGTCTGATTGTTTGTGAGTGAAAGGCAAACATTGAGACAACTGAATCTACTTTTTGAGGATTTCTTTTTTACTATGAAACTTGCTTCCAGAACCAATTTACAATCCCACACTAGGGATCAAGTCTTGATACTAAAACATCAGGATATAAAGAATATCTGAAATGTACTTGTTCTTGTATGGCACTTTTCTAGTTGCTCGACCACTCAAAGCATTTAAACATGACATGCTCATTTATACCTTGAATACTTCCAAATGGCCAACGCACCGACTGTACTAGACAACTCACGCGTTAGACTTGACTCAGACTTTACATGCGATCAGGCAAATGCATGTGTGATGCAGAGTATGTCAAACTCAAGTTAACAAAACAGGACCCCAGCAGCTTCGTCCGGCCTCGATTTCAAACAAGCTTTTGAAACAACTCTCCATGTTCCACACGGCTGTCTGCTTAGTTTTTACAAGCACAGCTCCCGTCCGGATTCCTCCGATGTGAGCGGCCTGCCTGTCGGATGGGACGCAGCCGGGACCTCCTATGGACAGAAGAAAGTCATGTCGACAAAGCGCTGCAGAAAGCCAAAGGAGCGTCTGTCCTTTTGAGGAGTAGCGGACCATGACGGAACAACACAAACAAATTTAAATGCAACGACAAGGTCCCTCGCGTAGGATGCGACGTGTTCCTCTTAATGATTCTGACTGAGGAGTTCTCCTTCTTTATAGCTTCCGCCCCATGACTCCAGGAAAAAACAAGTGCCTGCTGCAGCACTGTGCCGCACAAAGGTTATATTGACATTGGCATTGTCATAGAACTCAGCGAAGCCAGTTGGTGAGGGAGTTTGTATTCTCCGTTATAACACCCATGGGTAATACTCTTAGCAGCACAACATAAAAGCCTAATAGGTCTCCATAGATTTGCATATAATAACATTTGCATGTACTAAAATCGTTAGCGTAGCATGAGTAATGCGTGAGCACTGGATCATACACGCCCATGGAATGAGTCGATCAGATGGGACGATTCGCAACAACACAAAGTCACGTGACTCCGGGACCAAAAACATGATGGTAAAGAGCATTTAGTGTTATTATATGACTACGGCATTGAAATGACAGAATCAAAGATAGACTTGAACAACGTTATCTCAAGGCTCAATCAGAGGGTTTTTTGTAACATGTGAGTTGTGGTGACGCTGCAGTCAAATCAATGGTGCCAAGTCCGAGGAACAGCTCCATCCGGCGCCGCACAGCAGCCACAGATCTGTTTGCATGTGGAATGGAGCCTCTGAGAACATCTCTATAACAAAGAGTTTCTCTTCCTCTCCCCTTTAAGCTCTTTGGATCAAAACACCAACTTGGGAAATTCAGTTTGGTGCCACGCGCAGAGAAATGCCACCTATTTTCTGGCCTGTCAAAGTCTGAACAGTGGTCTCTATTACCCCAAAAAGAAAGACTGAATGCAGTCAGCGAGATCTGTCTTTTCAGTTTCCAACAAACATGCTTCCATTGCTGTTGCATCACGTTGTTATGCAGGAGCCGTGGCTTTGCAGTGTTTGCTTTTGATTGGGAATGTTTAATGGCCTCTACACATTCAATTATCAGCAGCCCGCTCCGCCAGTCGATAGTCATCCTCCCATTAACGGCCCAGAACTGATTACCAGGGACAGAAAGAAACGGGTGAAATGTTATTCATTCAAAGCGCTGATTAAATCCTCCTAGGTGGGACTTCCTATCCCACTGGAAACTCACCAGAATTCTACTAAGCACCACTTATGTTAGGAGGCCTACAAAAAACTAATTGTGTCTAAATTTCTCTAGTCTCGCTGTCTGAAAAGTGGTTTTCACTTTACACTTTCAAAAACAAATATTACGCAAATTGACGTTTTCTCTGCACTGTAATATATATATATATATATATATATATATATTTATTTAACACCACTTTTAATCTTGTTTATTGTTTTCAATCATTGTTGTTGTTGTTGGCTGCTGCTGGTTGACTGAGAGCTATCCAACTTATTTCACTGTATGAAAGTGCAACCAAACCCTCTCATCTCATCAACGTTCTCTTTCTGTTTAGCGTTTATCTGAATTGCCTTTTTCTGTTTGTGATTTATTTGTTATTTTTGAACCCAGAGTAGAGAAATAAATGCCAGAAAAAATGTTTTTCAGCCTCTTCATTTGCGGTTGTGGGGCTTTAGCTCCTTCCTCTTTCTCCTCATAGTAAGTAGAATTCATCGACTGGCTGCCAAACTACATGAAGCGCCTCCTCTCGATGGCACGCTTTCCTTTATAGTCAGGTTCAAAAGATGGCCTTCACAGCCTCTTTCAGCACATTCCGTGTAACTGTTCAGTTGAAGGCCTCATTGGGAACGCTGCCAAGGATCTATTGTTCCTCTGCTGGGCCACTTAAGCTTCTACCAGCGCTGTTTTTTTCACCAATGAACGGCAATTTTTCTTTTGCACTTAGCAACTACTAACTTTTTCACATTCATTTCCCAAACACTCCACTATATTTGGGCGGGATCGTACGTGAATGATGGCATCTAAAAGAATGCTGAAGGTTTTGTCAGGTTCATTTCACATTTATTTCATGTCCATTTTCACATTGTGATTTTCTGCTAAATATTCATAATACGTTGAATTTAAATACATTGTCCAACACTGTAAAAATGAATATTAGCAGTGGTTTAATTATCGGCGACGTGAACCTTTTTATTTCACACGTTGCAAACGGCAGGCGTCCCTTTGTGCCCTGGAATGACCATCGACTGAACAACCTTTAACAAAGGGGG